GAGCTTTGCAACATCTCCAAGCCATTTTCACCTTCATGGCATATGTTGCTCACACACATGTATCTATGGACTAATCACCTGTGTATCTCACATAAACATAATTAGTCCACCTAGGTTGTCACTCAATTACCAAAACCACACAAGGACCTTTCAACGTGTCCAGTCGTGGCTGATAGGATGCGTTCGGTCATAAAAATACCTCTTTGAATGCTTTCTAGAAATGATCGGACTCCGTTGTGGAGCGTCCGGTCGTTTCCTCGTCGAGTCCCGTCACATTTTAACTACGTGAGCGATCGGCTAGTGACCGTTGGAGATGAACAGGCGAGGTTCAAAGGAGGGATACGTGGCGTCCATCAGGCGACCAGACCCTGGCTGACCGGACGTTGGGGTGCGTCCGGTCAGTGGTCCAGTCATGTCTGTGTGAGCCCAATGGCTCTCTAAGTAGAGGGGGCTTTATAAATAGAAGAGACACGGCTTGGGCTCACTCTCTTGCATATTTTCATTAGTGATATATCCTTGTGAGCCTAAGCAAACACCTCCCATTCATCTCCATCTTTCATTCACCATCTCTGTGAGATTGGGAGTGATTCCTAGTGCATTTGCTTGAGTGATTGCATCTAGTGGCACTTGGGGATCATTGTAGCTGTGGATTCTTGTTACTCTTGGTTGTTGTCGCCACCTAGATGGCTTGGAGCAGTGGAGGAGCATTGGCACGAGTTGGTGATTATTCGTAGCCATCTCCCGGTGATTGTGATGGGTCTTGTACCTTCCCCAGCAGAGAGCTGAAAGGTAACTCTAGTAAATTGCCCGTGTCATTGAGTTACCTCACTTGTGGGTAGGTTCTTGCGGTGCCCAAGTGGTGGACTAGGTGTGTGATACCTATTAGCCACCAAACCACAAAGTGTTGGTCGACACAACGGGGACTAGTATGCCGGCAAGCACATGAACATCGGGAGAAAAATCTTATGTCAATTGTGTGATTGTACTTCTCTCGGTGATTCACCTGGTATTCATATTGCTATTGATCATCTCTCTTGCCACGGCAGTACAAGCACCTCCCTTGTATTTACATTGTTACATACTTGTGTAGTAGTAGCTCTTGTGTAGAGTAGAATTGTTAGCTAGCTTATTCTCTTGATAGAAGTAATTAGTTCTTGTGCTAGCTTGGCCACTAGTGTAGAAATAGCGATATAGTCATTTGTGTGCCATAGAGACTATAATTCACTTGAATTGTTTGGAATAGGTGGCTTGCATCACTTGGTAGAGGTAGAGAAAAACTTGCTATCGCCATTTGTTGCACTAATCATTTTGCTCTAGTGATCTGTAGATTTTTAATTAGGCTATTCATCCCTCTGTAGCCATTTAGGACCTTTCACATAGTAATAGAGAAGTATGTAGGAACCTTGAACTCACCCATTGTCCTCTCAGCTTAGCTTGTCTACTCTTCTATCTTACCATGGAGATCTCCTGTGTGTGTCATTAATCCATCACTCCTATCTTATCACTTGCCCCATATTAGTCAGTCGGTATACTAGTTTGTAGATACATGATGGCTAACTATCAACTTTTTTAACCATTGCTTCCCTGTGGATAAATACGATACCCTGTAATACTCCTAGGTGAAAGGTACAACGGTATCCGTGCGCTTGCGAATTTATATATTTACGTTAACAAATACCAACAAGCTTTCTAGCGCCATTGCCGGGGAAGCAATTGACGTAAAGATTTTGATATTGACCTTAATATCTACTGACCTAGTCACCACTAGCTTTTATGGGCATAAAAAAGAAACTATGGTTCTCTAGTTCACCATTCAATGTTTTCACCTCCGCTGGATGAATCGTGTTTATCCTTTCATGCTTCCTTTCTCTATGCTAGTATGCTTTGGTTTGGATGTTGATCGTACATATTTGAAATTAAGCATGAGGCTTGGTTTGTATGTGATGATCATACTTTCATAGACTTATTGAATTAAGCGTGGTGCTTAGATTAATTAGCATATCTTAATTAAATTGGACATGGTGTCTAGTTTGATTATTAAACCGAAACTGATAGTATAGACATTGGTTGTATGTATAGACTAACCCTTGCAAGAAATTATCAAATTCATGAGGGTAAGTCTTTAAGATGAAATCATAACAGAGATGAATCAGGGCTTATTTGGTGAATTTTGATTAAACAAAGGTTTACAATCTGAAAAGAGGGGATTTTCTTTGCTAACTGAACAAGAATGCCAACTTTTCATTAGCCAAGAGGAAAACCTTTAGCTCATAACATCAACCACTATCATTTCAAAATCTCTTCACTCCAAAATTACTTGTCATAGGTGAATGATCGGAACCATTTGTACTTATTTTAGCAAAAATTGTAATGAATATATGAGCTCCTAAACGATTTCAAATGGAAAAAAGTTTGAAACAAAAAGTTTTAAATCTTGCTGAGTACTACAACTTTGATCTAGATCGTCTCTATATGAGAGGTCATTTGATTTTTTTTAAATTGAATTTTAAAGTATAAGAACTTAAAACATAATTTTTGAATGTTGAATGGTTTCAAATGAAAAAAATCAACTACGTACACAAGTAGATCTTTTCGAGCACTATAACTTAGATATAAAGTTTGTCTGTATCTAAATTTATTTGAAAAATTATGAAATTTTAGTGTCGTCTCTAGAAATCGATTTGTAGAGACAAGTGGAGTTGGTTGAAAACTCTAGCTGTCTTTAGAAATATGATTTTCTAGAAGCGCTTGGACTTTCTAGCCACCTCACTTAGAGGGTATATCTAGAAATGGTTGAAAACACTAACGGGCTCTTAGAAATAAATTTATAAAGACAGGCCTTCCGTGCCCGCACAGTGGTTGGTGCACCTGTGGCCAGGGAAGTTCTACGCAACACCTGTAAAGCCCCGGTGAGATCAACATCCAACATGAGCTCACGGGAAAATACCATTGCTGCACCCGCTCATTTCATGCACCCTTCCTTCTTCACCAATAGGGCAATAGGACACATATATAGTTGATTGGGTGAGTGCCGAGGATGGCATGCTGCAAATGTAGACGTAGTAAGGTGAACCAACAATGAAGGTTATGAGTCCGTTTGTCTCTCACTTCACCGAGCATAATAAGACTATAAGGGTGTGTTTGATTGAGTTATACTTTTTGCAAAAGTTGTTGTGTGAGCTGTGGAATTTAGAAATGTTGCTGTGGCTTGTGGGCTTTGAAGAAGCTCAAAGCCGTTTGGTTGCACAGCTCTAGCTTTTTAGAAAAGTTGCTGCCAGCGAGTCCTACGTAACATCCGACCCCATCTTTCAATCTCTCTCCCTCATTTTCTCCAACGCGTCGTGTAGTTGCCTGAGGGAGCTCTGGTCTAAGGAGCCTGGCGGCTGGCCATGAACGTCCCTGTAGGGAGGGAGGGAGGGCGCCGCCACCAGCCGCTGAATCTGGCCGTGGTTGCTCGAGGGAGGGTGCTGGCCGGGCTCATCCACAGATGGGGAAGCAGTCGAGGGGGCTGGGGAAGCTCACTGCGGGGGTAGGGGCCACGCTACGTCGAGCTCCTCCTCCTCAGCGTGATTGACGTCCAACGCCCACGCGCACGGTGCCCCTGATGCTGCCCCAGAGATCGAGCGATGTGGAACCGCAAGGGCTGGGCCACACACCGCGTGCCCGTCGCCGGAGCCGCGTAGGACGCCGAGGCCCCGCCTGCCACCGCGCCGCGCAGGCTGCCTGGGTAGGTCCACGTGCCCGCCGCCGAAGCTACGCCCGCGTGCTGGCCACCAGGATCTCGTGCTCGGATGCGACGAAGAACAAACAATCGCTTGAGAGGGAAAAGAAGAAGGATGAACCGACATCTTCCATAACCAGTGGCATGTGGGTAATTTCTTCAAAGTTGGCCTGACTTAAAAGCAGGTGAAATCAGGAGGAGAGGTATTGTGAGTTTTGTACTAGAGCGAAATATGCTTTTACCCCAAATCAGCTATAGATTACCACCCCTTTAGTTGGCTTTTGTTTTTTTAATAGTAAAAGCAAGTTAAAAAGTCTAACCAAAGAGGTAGCAAGAGTCCTAACTGGTTTTACTAATTAAGAGTGGTAATACATGATGGATTAGAGGTCAGAGTTCTGCTCAATTTTATTGTCCGTTTGTGATCCGAACTTACCATCAATGCTTCGAGTTAAGAATAAATCACGTCTAGCCATGGTACAGAGTACAATTCTAAGACATATTGAAACATGTAAGTTATACGTTTCCGTTGCAACACAAAAGTGTATTTACTAATATTTTATAACTCTAGCTATAATCATTCTAAAAATACATAAAACTAAGTTAAGATAGTAAACGGTTCAAAAAATTTATAAAATACTAGTACGTAAATTGGTATGACCGGAGGGAGTTTGACCGAATGGCCGAAATGACCGATATCAACCGGTATACCAAAACGGAATTGACTGTGGTCGTATCGGAGGCGCGGATCCTGTGGGCCCATGAAGGAACTCAAAAAGTGGCACCGTTTCGACAACATACGCAATTAACAGAATGTATCGGGGGTAAACTGAGAAAAGATTAACTTCATCGCGCTGAGCCAGTCAGGTAGTGCTGCCCTGCCGACTGCCGCCCGTCTCCATCCCGTAGAAGACACAGAGAGAAGGAGAGAACTGGACGGCGGCGGCGGAGACAACGATGCAGTGGTACTTGGTGGCCGCGCTCCTCACCGTCCTCACCAGCTCCCAGGCAATCCCAAAACCCTACATATTTCGTCTTTTCACCTTCCCCCCCCCTTTTTGGCTTGATTCTATTACATCATAGCGTCTTAGATCTGTCGACAAGCTGGGATTCGCTGTGGAATTTCGGTCGCTTCCCATTTGGTTCTTTGATGAGATGCACGGTGGAATAGGCGTCGTAGGTTGCTGGATCGGCAGTTTATCTTTTCGAGCGGAGTCACCATGCCCTTTGTGAAGAGAGACGCGGTTCAGATGACTCGTGACTGTTACCCTGGATTCCTGGAATGGGCGGATTGATTGTCGTCCAGAAGCTTGGTATTGGTTATGTGGTGAGGCACAGGGGATGATTTGTTGGAATTGTGGAATGGGAAATGACATGGTTGTGATGTTGTGCTGTGAAAATCTCTCTCAAGTGAGGGAATATGATCATGTGCTGTTGGCAGAATCAAGTCATAGTTAAACAGACATGGAAAGTTGCACATGGTTTGTTTTAGTTCTTTTAGTTCCAATGTGTCTAATTGGCTTATCTATATGTGCAGGGAATATTGACCACCCTTTCCCAGAGCAATGGCAAATACAAGTATGATTATGCCACTATTCCTTTTTTAGCAGAGCTCTTCAAGGTACATAATTCAAATTACATTTAATCTTTTGATAGCCTCATACTCATTTGTTTCTACTATAGCCTTAGGCAGTTACCTTACATGTACTACCATTTATCATCTGAATATCATGTTTTTTAAGATTATGCTTGACCACAAGACATCACTTCCACATCGCGTGCCTTGGGGAGATCGATCTTCGTCGGGGGCAACACCCTTGTTTAGGCGGCAGATCCTATTGATATGCCGCCTTCATTGTCATTCTAGCATGGGCCGCAGTGGCAGATCGCCTACCACCTATCAGTCTATCACCACCAGCCTATTCCTTGCACTATTCGTTTGTTGATTTACATCTCAAAGGAAGATTCTTTTCACATGATGTTTGCACTTTTTTGCACACTTTATTGTTGAGCTTCCAGAGTTTGCTTATTGCAGTAACTTTATGTTTGTGTGTCCTGACTTATTCAGAGATTTGCTGCCAGGAAACAAGTAGAGTCAATATGATAATGAATGTGTGTGCTGTGCTATGGTTTATGGATCTTTTTCCCATCGACTGATTAGTGTTCTTGTTTTGTTCTCTGCAAATTCTACTAGGCTTGTTCTAAAAAGGAAGTTGTCCAATCTACAATGGATGGCAATTGTTTTATTGGCTGTTGGTACATCTACAAGCCAGGTTTGTTAATATTATCAAATGATCTCTCTGTTCCTAACTATTGTTCACTTTGGCTTTCTCCTAAGTCAAACTTTTCTATCTTTGACCTGGTTTTTGGAAAAATATATTAACATCTAGAAGTTCAAATAAATGCACTATCAAAATCTATTCATGTACAATGTAATGAAACTAATTTGATGTTATAGATGTTATAAAGTTTGACTTACGACAATGCCAAAGTAAACTATAATTTCGAATGGAGTATATATCTTATTTCTCAAATGATATGGTTTTTATTACCTAAAATGTATTTAAAGTTGACATTACTTCTTAGGTTACGTTTTAATGGATGGTCACAAGAATTGTAAGCATGTAATAAGGAACACCATTTGTTTTTGTGGGGTTGGGGCGTTTGACCTACTCACAACATATATGCTCCAAAGTTTCTTCATAACAATTTGCACTTATACATTATGTATAATTTCATTGGTAGATACGGCGACCTATTTTCCAGATTCACACTAAAATCACAAATATCACATAATTACTGAATGTTTTTGGAAGTTTGTTAAGCTATTTGTTTAGTTGACCGGCGGTATTCTTTATATGTAATTAAACTACTCCATTTCAAAATATAGGCCATGTTAGGATTTGCAAAAGTCAGACTTTGTAATTTTTGATCAGGAACTATATGCACGCTTAGTAGATAAAAGTCATGCTGATAGATTCACATTGCACATATATTTTAATATGAATTGATTTGTAACCACTGATGATATATTGTTGTCATAGTACATTTCTAAGGACTTTCCTGGATCCTAATACGCTTTTTGAAAAGAAACAGAGGTAGTAATAGCCTATCAATGCAAATTGATTTCTGTTTGCAACATTTGATATTTTCATTCAAATGAAACACTGTATGGATTAACTTATGATATTTATATTGGTTGTAGCTGTGATTTGTGTTTAGTAACTAGATTTCAACTGAGATTAAACATACTGTCTCTTACAGGTGAAAGGATGTGGAGATGCACCATGTGATTCTCTTTTCGCAGCACCATTGCAGGGTTACATGCTTGGAATACTTTCTGCTTGTCTTTCAGCTCTAGCTGGTGTGTACAGAGAGTACTTGATGAAGAAGAATAATGATAGTTTGTACTGGCAAAATGTACAATTATATACGTAGGTATCTATATCTAACACTGGTTCGTTATCAGTAATTTCTCATGCCCAGAAACCATGTGTGCAGCTGTGCATACATCTTTATCAGCAATATGTTTCAGCAAGCACGACAAACTCTTTGATGTTCTCTTATGTCCAGGTTTGGAGTTATGTTCAACATGGGCTGGCTAATTTATGGTGATTTTAAAGCTGGATTTGAGCTGGGTCCATGGTGGCAGCGCCTTTTTAATGGTTATTCGATCACAACATGGATGGTAGTGTTCAATTTAGGATCTACTGGTCTGCTAGTATCATGGTTGATGAAGTATTCTGACAATATAGTCAAGGTTAGATCACTCAGGTTCCCTATGCCATTGAGGTGGATTATTATTGTTTCAACCGCTTTAAAGTTTTGGTGTGTATATAACCGCTTCAAAGCATAGATCAGTCATTACAGAAACAACAGTGGGACAATAGGTAGCAGAATATATGGAACATTAGGTTAATTTCCAAAACAAATTACAATCTATTTTAATTGCTTTCTGCTGCAGCTTAGAAACAATTGCAGCACAACTACCATAAACTAACCCTCAGTCTTATCACTTTATATGCACCGCTAAAAACTTTGACCGTATGTCTGTTCCTAATGCCTGTAAAGTGAAGCTATATTTTTTTTCTTATGTCAAGTTCCTGTGTTGGTACTTGTTTAACAATGGTTTATGTGACTGTTCTGGCCTTTTTATTGCATGCCTAGGATGTGCTGTACATCTATTCTTAAGAAACATGCAAAGTGAACTATGTACATCCTGTGTCTGACAACAGGATTTATGAAGCAGTTCATAGTGCGTGGCAAGAATTTTGCTCTATTGAAAATTTAAAATTTCTCATAATTGGGTTCGGTATTTTTAGAAGATTTTTTTACGGAAGAAGAGCAAGTTTTTTCTTTGATGTTCACCAAAACCAAAACCAAAACCAAAACAATTCACTTTTATTTCCATGGATCACACAGTGAGCGTATTTGGATATTATCCATATCAATGACCTGGTGAATCCTCTTACTCTTAATTAATCATTAGACAAAATTAATAAACTAGAAAAGATCGATAGCAAGATAAAACTTGGACATTTTTCATTCTGAAATGTTCCATAGTAGGTGAATCACTTTAACTAATTAAAAATTCTAAAAATTAGTAGACTTCCTCTTCGGAATAGAAATTGGCTATTTCTACATAGGCAATTTATTTGGAGTTGGTTTGGTACATTTATGTTGTCAAAGCTTGTCCCTGAACTCACTTGACCTTTTTAATCGGATGATCATTGAATGTTGGTATGCGGTCTATTTAATTTTATACCTCATGTTTCTTCATTGAAAACTTGTGTCATGGAGCTCTGTTTTAATAGGTGTACTCAACTTCAATGGCAATGCTTTTGACGATGGTTTTATCTATATATCTTTTCAGTGTGAAAGCTACAATTCAGGTGCTATACTTTGGCTGTATTGTAGTCCTGTTGCATTGGGGTTCTTGTAGTACTTTATTTGTACTCACGTGCTTAAACCCTCTTTTTGCAGCTCTTCTTGGGCATTATCATTTGTATAATTTCCCTGCAGATGTATTTTATGCCTGTGCACATGCTTGTTGAATTGCCACAAACTTTGCCAGTAACATCAAAGTAGGTTCATGGCATTGTTAGCTAACCCATTGATCAGGAGGGTAAGGCACTGTTGATTGAAGGGTTAATTGACTATCTGCAGCCCAGCTCTATTTGAGTCATCTGTTCAGAAATTTATGGTTGTAATCTCAACAACTATGGAGCTATGGTTAGTTTAATGTTTCAGAAAAGGTCAATCAACTGTGCAGTGAGCATGCAATGCCAATGCCAATAGATTGAAAGTTAACACACGTACAAGCTTTCCAATTTTTAGCCAGGTAAAAGATGGAGGCTGATTGATCTTGTTGTCTAGGGAAAGGAAATCCACGCAAATGCAAATATTCTTCAAATAGAGCAAAACTACTCATTCACCTTGTATCCACAATTTTGCATTAATGGAGTTGGTACAGAACTGACAATTGCAATGAATGAGTTATGTCATGTTTGCAAAAATGTACACTATTTTGCTCCCTACGCCAGCAGTCTTATTTTTGCTTATAATTTATCATGTAGTTATCTTTTCAGGAAAGATTCAAACTGGACTAAGTGCTCATTGGCCAAATCCTCAGTCATTCATGTCTTCCAAGATCTATGTATGTTGTGATAAATTTTCAACTAGGAAATCTCTAGCATTCATCATCATACTGATTTTTTTATTATCATCAGTTAGAAATGGCTTTCCATTCTAGCATTTGTCATTTATTTAATTAAAAGAAAGCACAACACTGTTACTGTGATTAATTTCACGAAAACCATAGCATTGTTATATTACTTGATTCGGTATGTACCTAATAAGGAGCACATGTGCATAATGTGTCACCTCGAGCCAACCCTTGATCTGAAGCATATGCATTGTAATTTGTGAGATACATGCCATGACATGCGAATAAAGCTCCCATCTGGGATTATGGAAGTCTTTGCAAAATGTATACATGAAAAAAAATCAAATATGCATATTGGATAATGATTTTATTGCAGTTGTTGAGCCCCAATGTTGCAAAGAAGTGATTGGCATGGCACCTGTTGCAGTATCTCAGGTAACTATGAGACAGTTATTGATGTACAGTAGGTGGTTTTATTGGCTTCTCACTATTTGTTTGCTCTAGCCTTCCAGAATCTATTGAATAATGTGCCTGCTCTGAGATTCAAATTCAATAACTCCATTTTAGGCTCTACATGTATAGATAGCTTGCTTCATCCCTCTGTCCCAAATAAAAAGACGTTCTAGGATCCAGCACATGTACCAAGACCAATGAGAAAAGTCCAAGATCCCCCTACTATTCTCTCTCTGTCCCAAATAAGAGCCCGTTTGGCCGGGCTCCGAGCGGCTCCGGCTCCTCTGACTCCTCCCCTGTTCACCCCCTGTAGCGATACTGTTCATCGGAGCTGTTTTTCTCTCTCTCCTTTCCTCTCTCACTGACAGCGCCGGAGCCGGAGAAGCTCGTTTTTTGGGCTCCTCCGGCTCCAGCTCCTGCGCGCTACAGTTGCGCTACAGCGTGGGAGCCAGAGCCGGCGGGAGCCCGGCCAAACGCGCCCTAAAAAGACGTTCTAGGATCCACCATCGTAGAGAGTGCAGGTAGTAGGCCTGCTGCCTTGGACTCCGGTAAAGTAGTAGAATGTGAGACACAACGACATTTTTATTGGGACAACGTTCACAGGTCAGAACGACCTTCTTTTCGGGACAGAGGGAGTATGCCAGTATCTGTTTAGTTGCTTGAATCTGAATTCTCTCCTTGGGCCTAGTACTCTGCCACTCTCCGCCTTTGGAAACATACACTTTATGCTGTATCTTTTATCTGCAGTATTGAATTGGATTCTTCCCTCTTCCTCAAGACAAATTTTGGCTTCAATGTGGCCCAAGACACTCTGGGCTATAAAGGCGCATGCGCGCAGCCATCTGACCTTGTGAGTATTGGACCTTGCTTTAATTTTGCAAGGATTGGTCAATAGATGACTTGCCCAAGTCCCCAACCCAGCTACAACAATTTCAGATTGAGTTTTCATATACTTTGCTTAGCAAGGATATATGCTTGTTTCTTCATAATCTCATGTGACAAAGGTAGACAAAGTTGTCAAGTCTTTCCAAGGTTGGACATTTAGTGAACCTTTCCAGCCTTCTGTGAAAAAACTTATGAACACTAGAGACAGTCTCTTGAGAACAATAACACTGGACATAATGATAATATAGTTGGTCAGTGCTTAATTGAGGAGCACCTTTTCTTCTTGAGCACAATTCTGTCTTCTGTATCACTAGGACGAGTTAGATTCAACCACGTGGTGAATCTGTCCACTGGGTACAGCATTCTTGAATCGACCTCTGTAGTCGGTTTGTCTAGTATTTTCTTTTTTACGTTGATGATGCGACAAAAAGGAGGCATGCAAGGCAGCTTGTAAAGTTAGCACTTTCCTTAGATATTTCTTTTGGGTACGCTTCATCTAGATTGTAGTGTGTGCCTGTGGAGATATTTCTTCTGTTCACAGCGCACAGCAAAAGCTCATGCTGGAATCAAGCTTGAAACGCCATCCGGCCGTTTGATGCCAAATATCCGGAGAAGGTTGGCAGTTCTAACTTTGCAACAATATAATGCTGCAATTAAGAAAAAACCAGACGAAGACAGCAACTGATATGCTGCACGAAGGAAACGGGCGACTGATAGATAAGTTGAACTGAATCTGGTAACAAGCTCTTGTTCGGACGGTGGTTCGTTCCCCTCTTCACCGGTTTCTTCGCCATGTACCATGTACGTACGTACATTGTTACCCTTTTGTGAACGGCACCACCATGTGAAAAGGATTGTTTTCGATGTGCCAATGTGGGCTTCATTCTCCCTTGAAGATGTGTCCTTTTTAATTGCTTTGGAGTGGAGAGATGTCCATTTCGGCTAGACAACAAAATCGAAACTAGGAACAGATTTACTGAAGGAGGTTTGGCGTTTGGATGCCCCTGGTTTGGCGTCGCCCATAGGAGCAAAGCAGCGCCTTGCCCGCAGATACCTGAGTGCTTGTGCCACCACAGCACGTCACATCCTTTGTGGAACAGAAACGCTTAATACGCAAGCCATTGTGCGATGCACGCCGAACTCATGCAGCCTCATCCTAGCTACATAACTAACATCTATTTTTTTATTTTCCTTTTCTTTTTTCACATGAATATAGAGATACCCACAGATTTTATTTCCTTCTTTCCTTTCCCTGGAGAACGCTCTCGGTGATGAAACCGCCTCTCCCACCTACACAACTCTCCTCCTATAAAAGCACCTCAACGCCAGGCCATTCGAGCAGCATCACTCGAAGCCACCAAGCAGCGGCAGCCTCGCGCAGAGTGCTCAGAGCAGCAGCTTCCAGCCATCCACCCCTTCGCGCATGGGATCCTTGGGCCCCACCGTGAGCTTGAGCATCGTCATGACCAAGCCCAGCGGTGGGCAGCAGCCGGAGATGGAGAGGAAGGAGGGCGGCAGGTGCGGCGGCGGCTGCGGCTTCCGGATGCCGCTGCACTACCCGCGCTACAAGAAGGCGGACTACGAGGCGATGCCGGAGTGGCACGTCGACTGCCTGCTCCGCGAGTACGGCCTCCCCGCCGACGGCGACCTCGACAGCAAGCGCCGCTTCGCCATGGGCGCCTTCCTCTGGCCCGACCAGTACTGATCCAATTCCAACAAGACAAGCACAGCGCTGCGTGATCGGATACCTATATTACATTTATTTTCATATTTGTGTCTGGATTCGGATTCAAATACGGATAGATTAGATATCGATATTATAAATATGAGATTTGAGTATTGGGATATGGATACGGTATCGGATGTTGGATATCCGGACTCGGATACGGACAGATCTTAATCCCTCTAAATAGATTTGGCTTTGAATACGGTCGGAAAATATCTGTACCGTTTTCATCCCTAGGTTCTGGTCATATTCAGGAGACTTTTTCCTCTGTGTCATTATAAAAGATCGTAATCCCCTATGTGCCCCTGGAAAAATTTAGCAGTCTTCAGCGCCACTACTCCAACTTTTTCGGGTCCTCCATACCACTTCCGTCGGTTCATGTTCTAACGCCATCAAACTGCAGGTGTGAAAAGACGAAAATGCCCTTAAGTTCAAATATGTTATTAATTTTTTTTGAGCATCTTAACGACTTCAAATGAAAAAACTCAAAACTAGAAAGTTGTAGATCTCGTCGAGATCTATAATTTTCATATAAAAATTATTTTCATTTAATTCCGCAAAAAAATATGATTTGATATGATTAATATATCTTAGAAAAATCATCATATTTTTTTTTGTGGAATTAAATGAAAATAATTTTTATATGAAAATTATAGATCACGACGAGATATACAACTTTCTAGTTTTGAGTTTTTTCTTTTGAAGTCGTTAAGATGCTCAAAAAAAATTAATAACATATTTGAACTTAAGGGCATTTTCGTCTTTTCACACCTGTAGTTTGACGGCGTTAGAGCCTGAACTAACGGAAGTGGCATGGAGGACCCGAAAAAGTTAAAATAGTGGCGATGAAGACCGCTGAATTTTTTCAGAGACACAGAAGGGATTACGATCTTTTATAATGGCACACAGAGAAAAGTCTCCATATTTAGAGGATCAGCTGCATCTGCAAGCGGCATCAGTTATATATAGCGACACCTGATTATCTCGATTGTATATTTACTAGGGCCTTGTTTAGATTGTAAATTTTTGCAATCTGGACACTGTAGCACGTTTCGTTTGTATTTGACAAACTTTGTCCGATCATAGACTAACTAGGCTCAAAAGATTCGTCTCGTGATTTACAACTAAACTGTACAATTAGTTATTTTTTTACCTACATTTAATGTTCCATGTATACGTCCAAAAATTGATGTGATGGAGAAAGAGTGAAAAAACTTGAAATTTAGAGGTGATCTAAACAAGGCCTAGATACCATCCTGCTTGTAGTTGTAGCGGCCGGACATGATACGTTCTAGGCCTTGTTTAGATTGCAAATTTTTGCAACATGGACACTGTAGCACGTTTTGTTTGTATTTGACAAACTTTATCCGATCATGAACTAACTAGGCTCAAAAGATCCATCTTGTGATTTACAACCAAACTGTGTAATTAGTTATTTTTTTTATCTACATTTAATGCTCCATGCATACGTCCAAAAATTGACATGATGGAGAGAGTGAAAAACTTGGAATTTGGAGATGATGTAAACAATGCCCTAGTTCTAGTATAGCTGAGCTGGATTCCGCGCTGTATAGTATAGTTATTACTCCATATGGAATAAGAGGTGTTTATTTTGTCAGAGATGAGGTGTTCTGTCATCTGTGCACGGTTTGATGTTCACAAACCCTCAGTTATTGTGTTGCAGGCAGGCATGAAGAAATGTCTCTCTGCTTGTCTCTGTAGTCTCCACTGTTCCAACTGGAAAACTCTGATATGTTTCAGAAACTGGTTTGTGATTAAGAAACAGGGTTCCAACTCCCGGACTGTGAGTCTGTGACCCTGTTTTCTCAGAAACCTGTCTTCCACATCCATGAATGCAGAACATAGCGGGGTTTCGGGAAGATTCAGGGCTCGTTCGGTTAGCTCATTCCAGGCCCAGGAACCATTCCAAGTTTACTTGCTTATACAAATTAAGCCAATAGCTGGATTCTTTCTGGGGAGTCATTTCCTAGTAACTGAACGCATCCTCAGGCGGATCCATGGCGATAACCGGGGCATGCAAAGCCGGGTTAAAACCGGCCATGGTTTTGCAGATCAACTAACGCCTCTCGTCCGGCACCGGCAGCACCCACAGACTCGTGCTCACGAAGATAGCCTGCTATCCCGTGCCGAATTCTCTAGAAGCATAATAACAAGTGTTGTGAGTTGTGACGCAAATCCAAGCACGCATCTAGTGGATGCCAGCGTCAGCGTCAGCGTCATCTAGTAACTGAAGCGGCGGTTACGAGGATTTGCGGTTGTTATAGTTGGTTTGACATTTGGTTTAAGATCGGCTAGCGGATAGCCGGATACACCATAACCTTTCCCCATATAAAAAAAGACACACTCATATTAAAAAATGACACTAGGAATTGATTTTCAGGGGGCGGATACACCATTATTTTTCCCCATATGAAAAATAAGAAATACTCATAAAATATTAAAAAATAAACTAGGAATTGATTTTTAGTGATGGTTGGCTTAATAATACCGTCTCTAGAAATCTACCTATTTGACACGGTTACCATAAAACAACTATATACCCTTCAAAATTATATACTTAGAGGTGGGTTTTTTTTATCAACTGCCTCTAAAAAATGTATGTATTTATAGGGGTGGGTTTCTAGGAGTACTTGGCAAAGAAATAATTCATAACCTTTGTAAAATTTAAGTCAGATGAAGATATTTTTAAAAAATTAAGTCAGATGAAGATAAATTTGATATTGAAGTTTCATTATTTGATGTAATTTAAAACTTTATAGTTGATGGCCATTTTCATTTAAGATCATTTAGGGGTCTAAATTTAAATTTGAAGTTCTTAGAATTTGAAATTTTTTGAATTTTTGAAATGACCCCGGATAGAGACATGCCCCATTCCTAGTTATAGAGCTTGATGATAACTAAATAAAACTTTGTAGTTGAAACCTTTTTCCTTTAATATAGTTCTAGTGCTGAAATATTCAATATAAGATTCATAGCAGTCATGGATGGGCTCACTTGGTGACAAAATAAATAGTATTGCACCCATCGCCCATCCTATACTTGGTGCTCTAGTGCCTAACTCTCACAAGGATGCACAATAGTGCCTATCCTAGCATTGGATGTGATCTTGTCAAATGACTTGAGAGGGTAAATAGAGTGCAGAAACATTTGCTCTAACTTGTAACAACCTTGGGACACTCTAGCACACTCAAGCAAGTGATGCAATCTCATATATATAGTCTCATCCCCCTCAACTAGCCATTGGAAGAAGTACTGTGAGCACTAGACGATCCACCACATTCAAAATATTCACCTTCCGAATCATATAGTGCTACCAGTCGTTGAATTATTAGTCGTTGCAATTTTCCAACTGCTAGATGGTCCGATGATGTCTTTTCTTCACCCATCATATAGTCTGGTGCATGCAATCTTCTATGGTTACCTCTCTAATGTACATTGAACAATACGCTGTTGTGCACTTCCTATCACAAGATCATTCGATGCATGCCTTTACATAGTACTAGATGATCTGCTAGCCTCCCACACCATCACGTTAGACCGTCTGGTGAGTGATCTAGTGCATATTTTGGCGTGGAATGTTCTCTTGGCCGTCTCTGTCTTCAATTGTCTGGCGTTCTATTCTTCCTATGGCTAGACTGTCTGGTCCGTTGATCCACACAGTACCTACTGAGTCTAGCTAGCCATCTCCTCCAATGTCCAGCACGTGCATTTCTGAAAGCATCTCTAGATGGCTAGAGGAGGGGTGTTGAATAGCCTAATTAAAATTTATACAAGGTACCACACTAGCAAAAGTTGTTAGACAATAAGATAGCCCTAATAAGCACTATCCAAGTTTAGTCTAACAAGAGCACCCCTACATAAGTCTAGTAAGCAAAGGTAAATCAACTAAACTACACACTAGAAGCAATAGAAGTAGCAACTAATCGAGCAAGGCACAAGAGCTACTCGACTACACTAGCAAAAAGAACAACAAGCCTACCAAGCTAGTGAACTAAACAATTACACAGGCTAAAGAAGTAACACAAGTAAAGAGCAAGTGTAGATAACCCAAACCATAAGTAGAGGATGACACAAGATATATCCTCGAGGTTCAATTACTCACCGATCACCTACGTTCCCATTGAGTCAAGTCCAATGATCGCCACTCCTCTACCAGATCAACAATCCCTCAAGATCAGATCTGACGTGAGCACTATTGTAAGCTGGCTGATCATGAGATACTTCCTTCTCGGCTAGGATGAGAACAAGAGCCCCACACAAATCCTCCTTGACACCTCACAATCTCCAATTGCATGCTCCACGAAGTCTCGCTCCACAAAAACTATCTAGGTGGTAGCAACCACCAAGAATAACAAGAAATCCATAGCCAAGATGCTTCTATAGTGCAACTAGATGTAATCCTTAATGCAAATGTACTAGATCAACTCCAATCTCACCCAAATGCAATCCGAACTAAGCAAATGTGAGTGGAGAGGTTTCTCTTGAGCTCTAAATGGTGTGTGTGCTTATCAGATGGGAGTGCCAAGAGAACTTAAAAGCCCGAACACACATTCTATTTATAGACCCACTCAAGAAATTAGTCATTACCCCATTGGTGGAGTTTCTACAACACCACCGAAAAAGCTCTGGTGGGGTTCATCGGGCCTTACCACTGGAGCCCCTAATGACTAGTCCAATGGCTAGTTTAAACTGGCCTTGCACAGCCTAAGCTCCGGTGAGTTTTCTCCGGTGGCATGGAGAAACTAGTGGCTTCTAACTCACTGCACGCACATGATTTGAACTGCACTAAGCAAATTTCTAGTGTACCCTTTCGATGCCCAACTGTAACACCTCAGAAGAAAAACAACAACAACAACCCTCTAGAGTATTACCACACAATACTTCAACATGAACATAGCATCAAAGAACGTGGAGCATCAACGATCATATAGATTATACAATGAAAAGAGAGAACTTTA